AGGCTTTATGGTGGTGTCAGCAATTGCCAGATGGGTACTGAATTAGCTCTTCATGGAATTAAATATAGAAGCTAAGAATTTCTTCAGCTTTCTCTCCTCTTCAATAGAGAGTCTCAATCTATGACCTTGTAGTAAAAGAATGTTTACATAAACTCCTACCATTCTGTAGCGTCTTTTGAACACTCTTCATTTCTCTTCACTTGGGGATGCTAAATGTGGAAGCAAGAACTGTGTGGAGTCACTCTGTAATAAAAAGAACAGATAAAGATTTCTACATATGCATACTTGTATCAATAGTACATGTGAATGTCACTTCACCGCATACAAAAACCATAAATTACCTTTTGCATTCTCACTTTTAAATTAAAGTCTCTTTCAGTGGTACTTATTTTTCATTATTTGAATCAGTGCATTGATCCTTTATTCATATTTTCTATTTTTTCTCATATCTCTTTATATAACTCATATCAGGCTATTCTGTTTCATGAGAGTGTTCACAATGGTCCATTTTAATAAGTGGACCTGTGTACAGAAATATTTAGAGCTAGAAGTCACCTTGGAGAATCACCTTTTCCCACTCTCTCATTTCACAGCTAATGAAATCAAGGTCAAAATAGATGAAGTGATTTGCCTAAGGTTACAGACTGAATAGAGGCAGAGTCAGAAATAGGATTATAAGATACAGAATTTTACTTGTGTCATTATGTAACCTTATTCACTGAAGAAACATTTATTTATGTGACAGGCACCATTCTAGGGACTGGAGGCCAACCAAAGCCCACCCCTAGGCACAGTTCTGCTCCTGATGGTCACATTTCTGCAAAGTTCTGTTAGACGTGCTCAGCATGACTTTCTGCTATACCTTTTGGTAAATAATTTTGTTTCTTCATGCTTTGATAGTGCCCTTATCTTCACTTAGTCCCAATTAACTTCCCTAAGCTTTTCACTTAATTAGTTCACATCCTTTTTTGTTTTTCAAGGTACATACTGGCTCTCCTGACTTAGTGCCATCCTGCCTCATTATCATCCCCCCTTTCTAAAATAATTATTTTGAGTATAATGAAATGTTAAACATGATTGAACCCAATATGTGATTGTTGTAACTCTGGCTGCCAACAGATGTTTTCATATTTATTGACTTGTGTAATAAAGTATCACAAAAGAAAAATGAGTAGTTCCTTCATCTCTGCCCCCTCTCCCTTTTTAAATTCTTTGTTGGTAAATATTTGCTTCTATCATAGCAAGAGCAGGCTTGTAGACTTATGCCTTTTAAATGGTTATCAATGGTTAGACACAAAAGAGAAAAAATAGAAAAATTCTTCTGCTCTAAATAGGAGGTACAATCCTTTGGCATTCTACCTTTATTTTCAAGAAAGTCCACATTCTGTACCATTGCCTTCTATACTGTTCCTACCAGCAACACCACAGGTACTTCCAGTGGTTACCTGTAACTACAGAACATTTCTTTGTTTACTCTATGACTTGATGATTTCCTTTTCTTTCACTGCCTAATACTCTTCAGTAGTTATTCAGACAAACATTATTATCTTTTACACCTGTAGACACAATCAGATAATGTTGTACTTAATGAACAAACTAAAATAGCCACAGTTTTGTGTAATACAGTATTGATAATGAAAATGGCATTTTATTTTTGTTTAATATTTTTAAAGGGTAGTTATATGGTCTTTTTTTTTTTGGTAATGTTTCTTTCTCTACAATTTTAAACTCTTACAAGAAACTACAAGGATAGTACAGGTTATCATATGCCATTATTCTCTCTATATATGCTCTTTATTCTCTCTATATATGAATGTATGAATAAATTATATATGGGATATATAATATAGTATATAATTATATATTATATATGTAATTTTATATATAATATATAATTTATATGTATAGATGTGTGTATATATATATAAAAGAGAGAGTTCAAAAAAATTTTTTTAATCATTTGAGAATAAGTTGGAGAAATGGTATGCCCTATCTTAAATACTTAAAAGTATATTTCAGTATATTCCTAAGAACAGGACATTTTCTTACGTTACACAGAACAGTTGTCCAATACAGGTAATTTATCTTTAAAATAATACTATTATCTAAATCACACTCTATATTCAAATTTCTTCTACTGTCCGAATAATGTTCTTAACAGCCAATTGTTTTATTCCCCCCTGGTCCAGGATCTAATCTAGAATCATGCAGTGAATTTAATTGCCATACAGTGCTTTATTTTTGTATTGAAAAGCTTACATTCACAGTAATGATCTGGACAGTGTCCTTTTAAAAATAATCCCTGCTTGCTGACTGCTGTTCCAAGAATAAGAATTTAAGCCAAAAGATACGTAACAAGATCCCCTAGGATTAGTGACATCTGTGCTAAGGATATCTGTGCACATCAACCTTGTAACTATTTTCTAACCACAAGTTTTGGCATTTCAGTGGGAGAGGGTCTAAGACAGAAAACTCTGAGTTTATTAATATCTTACAGTTTTGAAATATAAACCTTAGGATTGCCATTCTAGTCCATTATGGGTTAAAGGGATAGTGTTTATAAGTAGCCATGAAACAAGGGTTCACAATGCATTATTTAAAACCAATCCTAAATAAATATTTAGCTCAGTGCTATGCTACTGAAGTCTTAATTAAAATCAGTATTTTCCCCAAAATAAATGCTTGCTATATTTAAAAGCAAAACCTGGATGTAAATATGTGTTACTTGTCATTCTTGAAATTAAGTCCTCTTTTTAAAAACGTACAGCTATGCACTTTTGAATGTCCAACACTAAAATGAATATAAATAGTTGTCTTCCTCCCCCAAAATGCCATAAAAATTATTTGTATATTTATAATTCCTAAATCATACAGCGTTTTGCTTAATTCTGTAAATAGACTATGGTTAAGGCTACAGGGTATGAGCAGTTTGCTTTCTAGCCCCTGTCAAAGCAATAATAATCCCTAAGTCTCAGATATTTTTTCTCCATGTCGTGTTTTATCCTGCTTCTAAAACTGGATTAAAAAAATACTAAAATGTCATCAGCCTTACCAACTATGAATGTACATAATATTTTGTGAAAAAACATATAGAGATTAATGTTCTTTTAAAAGTATTGTACAAAAACCTAAAAGTATCAAGCCTTAATACGAGAAAATTATCGGAGTCAGTTAATAACAATTACATTACCAAAAAGTCAGAGAGATGATGGAAGGTGCAAAATAATGCTGTGCTATGTTCACTTTTTCTCTAAAATAAAGAGAAAGCATTTATACATGCAAAAGACAGAAATTAGCTACCAGAAAAATGCTGTGCACATCCATATTCAGAGCATAGATTAAGAATAAAATAGTTGTTTGTCCCCTACAGTAGAACAAGTTTGCCCATTCATCCTTGTGATAGATATGCATGCACAACCAAAATGAAATCAAATCCTTACAGATGGCTCATAAGTCATAAAAACTGTTTAATCCTTTCACTTCGTCTCTTTGGGAAGCCTGGCCCTTGGTAAGTAATAATGTACAATGTATGTAGTGTCAAGTATTCTCTTATTTTTAAATAGAATGTCCTTGTCATCCTTAACAGGGTTTTCCCCCATATTTCTTGTAAAAAGCTCTGTGTCACTCTATTTACCTTAATGTGTGTGTCCACAGAATCTTGCTGTAGTTTTTGTTTTAATAAAAAAAGAAATGTCAGTATACTAAAGCTATACAAAGCATATCTAAAATTGATTGTGGCTCAAAGTCATGCTTTAAGAGGCAGTCAGGCCAATTTAAGTGCATTTTAACATTGCTCTTCCTAATGGATTTTACTGGGAAACAGTTGAGTTTCAAGCAGGAATAAAGGAAAAGCAGACCTTGAAGATTTAAATGTTGAACAGATGCAGTAAATGCGGCTTTGGAAATACAGCTGTCACTTCAGATCTTTTCTGCTGAGTAGCTATGTCAGCCAACAGCTAGAGCTGACGTTAAAATATTTTTGTAATTCTGTTGAAAATAGATGTCTTGAGAGCTCTTAAGAACAGAATAACATACCTATTATAAAACCTATTTTAAATATTTTATTCTTTCCTCATTTTCATGATACCTAAATTTTTTGAAGACTAAAAATGATGAGAACTTACATGAAAAGGTATTTGTCTCTAGCACCATGGAAATTTTCATTTATGAGTTGTAAACATGTCAAACCAAATCAGAAATTCCTGATATCTTTATGACATTAAAGCAATTCTTAATCTTGCCTCTTGAGGATTTAATTTTTTTCACTCTTTAAACTGAAAGTTGATCTTTTTTATGCAATGATGTACAATTATTTTTCTCCTAATCCCTGATGGGCTTCTAATATAAACATATTTGTGTGTGTGTGTGCGTGTGTGTGTGTGTGTGTGTACACATATCTATCTATTAATGTGTATAAACATATGTATATTTAAATACATGTATGTTTATCCTATGTACTAGAATAGTTAGTAGGTTATATCTAAACATTGATTAGATTCTTAAAATAGGGAAATATGAATAACATATTGAAGTATTTCTAATATCAGTGAAAAATATAAAATTTAAAAGTAACATGGGCTATACAAGTTTGATTTGTAATAATTATATTGATACTCGAGACAATACTAGACATTTACTTGACTAAGAATCATGTGATTTACTTTAATGAATGTAATATTCTCTAATAATATCTGCCTAGATTAGTGTTATTCTAATTTCAATTTAAAGCAATATAGAAAGCATAATTGACTTTTCACAAATCAGTATATAAACTATCCACAGACTCCTGATCTCTAGCTTATCAAACGACTTTAAAATCCAACCCACATGTATTATACTATATATATCAAATATGGGTATACATGACATTTTTATTGGAATATACAGTAAGATTTTAAGTAAAAATATTAAATAATAAAATTAACATATGTATGACAATCTGAAATAATACTGAACTATGTGTAGTCAAATAACCATTGTATATATTGTTTTCCTTTTAGAAAAACAAAATAATTCTGAAAGAAAGAACACAAAGAAAAACATACTCCAGAATTCCTAATATAACAGTAAGTACTTTAATGACACAATGATGATAATAAATCTCTAAAATTAGAGCTTATAAATGTCTTTTATAGAAATACTAACCTTTCTATCTTCTAAGTTAATAAATTAGCAGAGTAAGCAAGTTGAGCTGTCTCTCAATTTACTGGAGTAAACTGAAAATCATTTGTCCTATAATCCTCTTAAATAAGAGGACAAGGTAATCTTTGTGATACATTTATGGGGCAGAAAATGTTTATGGTGACTCTATCATTTCTTTTGGCTAGTATAGTATCATCTTAAATTCTAAAGAAGAAAACAGTAATAAGCTAGTTGTAATCAAAGTGCCTCATTTTCTCCATATGTGAAAAAAAGTTTTTACTTATTTTAAACAATATTTTAAATAGCATTGATGTGATTGTTTGTTTATAATCACTAAATTGGAATTATTTTAGAAAGGCAGCTACCTGCAGGCTTAAAATCTGCAGCATATTCTCATTAGTACATTTGTTTCTAATCTCACAACGTAACTAAAAATGTATTTCCTAGAAACGTATTTCCTTGCTATTGTTTGATAATGATAATAGTTTTCCAAAATATGTTTTCACTAAGCAAAGTTAAGTACATGTTGGTGTCAACCTTTATGATAAAATTGGTGAAATTGTAAAAATTTCAAGATGCAGGCAATTTTACATTTTGAATATGTGAATATTAAGAATAATAACATAAAGATAGAAAAACAAAATCCATGTTGATGGCCCACGTTGTAACACATTTAATACCATTGAGTTTGAAAATGCAGTTCTCAAAAATTAGAAGCAAATATTAGAGTAAAACATAGTATAATAAATTAACAAAATGAAAACTTTATATTAAAATATATCAAAATAGAGTCAAGTTAAATGGAAAGAACGTTGTTTGATATAAAAAGTAGAAATTTCTAAACAATTTTTGTAGAGCATATACAAGTTATTCTCAAATAATAAAATTTTCTAGGCCCAAAGAACTTTGATGCATAAGTCACACCTTAATTTTGAATGATTAGGTATAATTAAGTATCATTATGATGAAATAAATGAAATGAATCTGAAATATATTTTATTTATTTATTTCTCTCTGCCTCTGTAAGACAGGCAGAGAGAACACATTTTTTTTTCTTTTACCTGCCTGTCTGAAGATTATTATGTTACAACTTCACACAAAGCACTCTGCCAGTTACTTTTTGGTGTAGTTATGAATGGCCATTTATTTTAAATCAGAAATCTAAAAAATTTGTAATTTGAAATGTTCACACTTTTAAAAACTGTGCTTTGACTTAAACAATTAACTCCAAATGTATGAACGTTTGAGTTTTCAGAGCAGGTTATAGGCATTTTTACGTCATTCTGGGTACAAGGATAATTTAATAATCAGATTTTTCTGTCATATATAATAATTTTTTAAACTCTGAAAATCTGAGTTACAAGATACCAAATAAGAGAGAAATTTCTTTTTGACACAGAAATTTTTTATCATCTTAATAACCTAACATAGTCAATGAAATCATTCAGCCAAAATAAACATTTTTCAACACCTAAAAGACTATACTGTTTTAAAGTTTTGTTTTTATGTATGTATTTCAGTTTTTAAACATAATTTAAATTCTGTGCAATATTCATCGGAAAATGGTTGAAGTTTTTTAAATGACAGGACCAGACATATTTGTTATAAGCTCTTTATACAAGAACTAAATAATATCTACTTCACTCCCTTACAATTTCTCTGCCCTCTGAGTATACTTTCATGTGAAAACAATCATCGATGCCTCCTTCTCTACTCTGATTTATGTATAAGTTATTTGGTCTATGGTTCAGGTTTGTCCTATGTAAGTTATTTGGTTGGAACGGCAATTTTCACAATTGTATTGAAATAGAATTTAGCATAGCATACATAGGAGAGTTGTCATTCAAGTAATGAGATACTCTGTTCATTTGGAGTAATATGTAAAAAAAATAACATACATGTTTCTAAAGAAGAAATCATGCCTCTTTTTGATGAATTTTTATATAGTTTGAAGCAGTTTTTCATCTCAGATTTTAATTACCTATTAATAAGTATATGCTAAATCACTCATAAATTGCATGCAAAGAAAAATGACTCAATTCAACCTCATGTAATAAAAATATAATTTATTCTTTAAATATTTTATCAGATATTTAGGAAAAGGAATACTCTGAATTAAATGAAATTGTCAAAATATAAGAGTTCTTAATATGTCTTAACCACTAAGGAGTTCATGAGTTAGTGTTAGACAATACATGGAATAAAACATGATATCAGATGAATATAATAGATAATACAGTGGCTACATTTTATCTATAGACTGTGCATGTGTTGCTAGCCTATGAATGAGTTTTATGAATTGTATTTGAACCAAACTTTATAAATGAAAGATTTTTAGCATAGGAAATCTCTACAAACCTCTTACAATTTTGCTTTTAAACCCATAGCTTAAGAACAAGTTGATAATTGATTAAAATATTACTATTCTGTTACTAATTAAGAGCACATTGCATTTATTGCTCACAAAAGGTTTTGGTGCTTAAGAAAGATAAGAAATATAAGATAAAAGATAAAAATATAAGATGCATTCTTATAAGAATAGAAGAATAAAATACCACTGGAAAGTAAATTCTAAAATACAGCTAACCCTTGAAACCAACTCCCACGAAGTCCTAAAATTCCACGCCTAACTTTTAACTCTCCCAGAACTACTAATAGTAGTTATCAATGGAGGTTACCAATAACATAAATAGTTGATTAACTTATATTTTATATTTTATGTGTATTATATACTGTATTTTTAACAGTAAAGTGAGAAAAGTTAAGAAAATATTACTAAGAAAATCATAAGAAAGAGAAAATGTTTTTACTAGTCATTAAGTGGAAATGGATCATCATAAAGGCCTCTATCCTTGTTTTCACATTAACTAGGCTGAGGAGGACAAGGAAGAGGAGGGATTGGTTTTACTGTCTCAGCAGTGGCAGAGGCAGAAGAAAACCTGTGGCTAAGTGGACCTGCATAGTTCCAACCCATGTTGTTCAAGTGTCAACTAGAGTCATTTTTCTCTTGATTACTGAAGCTCAGTAGTACTTTCAAGAACTTCATAGTCTGCTCCCTATAAACTCTAATTACACCGGATAGTAATAATAAAGAGGATGTGTTTAAAAAAAACCTTCAGATGCTCAGACATCCTTTTTTGGAAACTATTCATATTATTCCAGACTCCCCAATCCTCTTTAATACAACTGGGAGTTGATACACTAACTCAAAGTGTGACAATTATTAACAGCCTAGCTTTCCTGGAAAACCAAATTCAGCAAAAAGTTTTCAGTAAGAGTATTTCTTATGAAAAGCAGATTTTAACCAATAAAATACCTTGTGGCTCATTAGAAAATAAATATTATTTGCAAATACCCCAAATCTTACCTGCAAATGCTCCTGACAAGTTTTACTTAGTCAATATTTCCATATTAGAATAATAACACCCTGCAATAAAAAAGTATAAGCCTTTGAGTGTGTGTAACAGTGGCATAAAGCTAGGAGAAAATTTAGAAGTCACCTATCTAATATTTTTATTTTATAGAGGTTACCTCCTCTAATATTCTCATTTATATATGGCCTGCTAGGTCATTTGCCTAAGCTCTTATACTTAGTGATAGAACTGAGAAAAAAAACTGTTAACCATCCACCATTTTTTTCTATCTGCCATATTGACTGAAAGTGCGGTTATTAAAATATGAATGTGTCTGAACTGTTAAAAAAAAAAAACTCTTCTCCAAATTTAATCTTTCTTCAACCAAAATGTTGGTGAAAATTTATGTAAATTATTGTTTAATGTCTAGTAGCCTAAAATTGTATTTTGATATAGTTTTATTAGGATGATGTTTATAAAGGTTATATATCTCCACTATTTAACATATATATATACATGTATATGTGTGTATATATATCCACTATGTATGTATAAGGAGAGCTCAGGTATATAGATATCGATTTATTTATTTATATTTAGATATATATATATATATATATATATATCCACTGTTTATGCATAAGGAGAGAGGTAATCTGAGTCTTGGCTTAATCCAACTCCCCCTACTATTTATTAATGATAAGTAGTAAAGAAAAATAACATGTGCACATTAAGCATTCATGTGCAGAGAATCCATAGGAGAAGGTGAGGACATTCAAGATTACACAGTTAAAAAAACTACTGGGTAATAATAATAGGTAATAATACATACATGCAGTCTGCCATCAGCAACACATAAGCAGTTACCTCAATGAGTCCCTCTTTTCTCATCTGGATAATGAAAGATGTCTGCCCAGCATACTTCCCAAGATTCTCTGAGATCCTATTAAATATATGGAGGTCTCAAAAGTGGTATTTAATTAAAAATTCTTATATATATATATTTATATATATTATATAAATTCTTATGTGTAAAATAATGCATATTAATGTTAAATTAAATTATCTTATAATATTGACAAAATTATTAAAAATATATATCACTAATAAAATATGTTTATTTTTAATTAAAAACAAAATTTATATATAATAATTAAACACTTATTTTTAAATAAACAATCATTATTACATAAAAACTTATAGTATTATAAAAAGAAGTTCTTTTTGTGAACATTTGCCTAAATTGTTTTTGGAGTACCATGTATCATTTTATAAAGGGATGTTTCTAAAAAAAACCAAAGTTGTTGGTTGATTTTTGATTTAGGCAATAATGATCATCCGGAAAATAAATTCTCTTTTTCTTGAATTTAGAATATATCTTTGATCCTCATCAGTGTTCTCACACATAAGCCTAAGAGAGTTCATATATAGAAGGAAGGGAGTTGGGAAAGGAAAGGAAGCATTTATTGGGCTCTCATTTTAAGTCAGGTGTTTAGTAGGCATTGAACTAAATTTCATTTAATTATTCAAAGAACTCTTCTGATGTTATTAATGGTTTTACATATGATAAA